CGCAGCCCCACCGTCCGCTAGTTGCCCAGCTGGCTGCGGGCGCCCAAGAATCCCCATCGTCTTGACGGTTTGCTAGACACAGTCATCCACGTTGCAGATTACAGCTTGATAGTTGTCAGCTTCTACGCGCGCATTAGTGCAGGCCTCAACGGGGCCCAACTTAGGCAGGTTCCAGCGCCTCGCAGGCCTTCCCTGGTCTCTCTAGTTCTCCTGGCTCGCGGCAGGCGACTTCGCTCTCGCCTGGCTAGCTGGCAAAATCCGATTCCGTGAATCGGTTGCACGCAGTGGCCGCGCTGGCAGATCACGTTCGTCGCAGTTATTCGTCTGCGGCGCCTTTCCCTGCCACCGTGAATCCTGCCCCGACGGCGCCCTGGTAGCTAGACGCAGGACTCGAAATAGCCCGTGGACCGGGCGAGAAGCCCATCGCTAGGAGCTCGGGGGCCCTTGCGAAGCCCCCACAGGTTTCGAGGTCAGCCACAGGAGCGATTGCTGGGCATCAAGCCTGCCGCGCCAGGTTGCAGCGCCGTCTCCAGCAGCAGAGTGGCGCGGAGAAGCGAGCTGCCGAATTGTCGTTTTCGTTCGCGGACTGTCGCGGTTGAGAAAGGCCCCGCCCTGCGATCCTCGCGCGCGAGGCAGTTTGGGAGCGAGCTCCCGAGGTGTTCGGGCCAGGGGCGCGCAGCCCTGCCATTGCAGATTCTGAGGCCATGGCCTCACCCGCCTCGCCCTTGAGGGGCCCGGGCGCATGCCCGCACAGGCGATCCAGATCCAGATCCAGATGAGTGGCCCCGGGCGGAAGACCCTTGGACCCACGAGCTCAACTGTTGCTCCGACGCGCCCCCCCCCGCCCAATGCGCCCGCCCGCCCGCCCGCGCCCGGCGCGGGCCCCCCAACGGGCGCCCGGGGCGGGCCCGATGGGGCCAGGCAGTCTGGGCCCCCGCCCCTGCTTTATCCGCCCTCAGCCGCAGACCCTGGATCCCCTTAGAGCTAGAGGCCCCCCGGGGCCCGGGCTGGAGGGGGATTGCCCCGGAGGGGGCCCGTCGTCCGATGCGCCACCCGAGGTGCGGCACAGGGGCCAAGGGGAAGTAGGTTTCAGTGGCGGGGCCGGCGCTTTTCAGCCCTTTGCTTTTGCCTTGCGCGAGTCCCGGGCCTCTGCGCTCGAGCCCGCTCGGCTGTGGCCCGTTTCAGGCCTCTGCGCCTCGCGGGCGTGATCTGTCTGTCGAATGAACCATTACTTCGCGCCATGGAGCGGAGCTGCCGAGTGGCCCGAAGCGAGCGAGGGGCCCCAGGTTCAACGTCGCCGTTGTCGAGATGGCGCAGAAAGCGAGGGTCGCGCCGCCGCGCGGCGAGATCAGCGGACCGCGGGCCCGGCCGCGCACACTTCCCAGCGCGCCGCCAGCCCGCCGCCCCCAGAACAACGAGGCCAATCAGCAGGGGCGCCGCGTCGCAGCGGGGTGACGCCATCTCGCGGATAAACCCGGGCGCGCGCGGCGGGTGCTCCTGGATGTCCGAGACCCACCCGGGAGGAGCGGGAACGAGCGATCAGGTCTGCCGGCGCCGCTGCCCCGCCGACCCCGACCAGCTGCGAGGCCATCTCTGAGCGCGCCATGGGGGGGCCCGGAGGAGAGCGGCGCGCGAGATCATTGCACAGCTAATGAATTTCATGAGTCTCGACGGACCGAAAAGCATTCTGCACATGCCATTCAAGCAACAGCAGCTGCCAGCCTCGGCGGCAGACCGAGGCTCGGAGACGCACGGCCACCCCGCGGACATCATCGATCACAAAACCTAAGCTTGGCACGACTTACGGTCGGCAGCCGAGCTAGACGAGGATCTGATGTTGCGAATGGTTTAAAACATGTACACGACGTGTCAGACGACGAGCCGTTGCTTGCAATCACCATTGCCGACGTTCGCGGCGCCCCACGCAGGACGCGCGCCACGACTGGGCTAGGCGCAGCCATGCTGAGCCCCGTGAGCTCGGAGCGCCCTCCAAGCGCGGCCTTGGAAGAGCTGGCGCACATGTCCAGGGCAGGTGAGCATCATCTGCGTTGGACAGGTCAGTGTATATCGATAGTCGGGCGCGCTTTGCCTAAGAAGACTTCTGGAGATCGCAGTGCGCGATGAGTGTCCAGGAGGAGTTTGGTTCGCGAACCCCCAGTCCGCGCCTGGGCCTCAGCCTCAGCGGAGTCTTGGAGCGCAGCCGTCAGAGGCAATCCCAGTCTGGGCGATTCAGCGCTAGGCGCAACATCATCTGGGCATTGCCACGGGCGAAGCGATTCTGGAAAACCATGCCCTCTACGGTTTCATTGAATGGCTTCCCCTAGCGTCGCGCGCGAACAACTTCCATTCCCGCCCGAGGTTCTCCACCACGAGACGCTGCAGGGCACGGCGGCGCGATCGCCGGGGCAGCCGGGGGCCTCCCCCGGAGCATTCAGCCAACGAGGGGCGCGGCCAAGGGCCTCGGGGCGGGGGCCCGCTTCGGCAAGGCCGCGACTCACTTTGCGACGGCGGCAATGAGGCAAGGACCGCAGTGCACAGAGCGCGGATAGACGATGCGTCATTTGCTCGACTTTCCACGGCGCCGAGTGGGTGGCGGCCAGGGTGCGACGGGCGGGCTTCGCTGCTCAATTGAGGCCGCACGCGGCGCGCATCGGCGCGGACTTGTCGCGCGGAGCTAGGGCCACACGAGGAACTCGCGTCGAAGGGGCGGCGAAGCACCAGGCCATGCCCTCCGAGGTGCGGCGCTTTCGCATTCGCGCCCAAGAAGCACCGCGCAACGGCGCGCCTGGTCAAGGGACAAGGAGCGCTCGCAGGCAGCGGGGGTCTACGGCCGCCAGGTCCACGGCACCTTCGGCATCAGGATGAAGGAGTTGCGGAGGCGGCCAGGGATTTCGGCGGCGGCACCCGCAAGAGGGCGATGTCCGACGACGCCGCTGGCCCTCCGCGGGGGGGCCTCACCGCAGCCATCGCGCTGCCGGCGGAGGCGCCAGGCCCACGGCGGAGGACGTGACGCGAGCACCCAGAGCGAAGGGCTGGCGTCCGACAGTCGCGGGGTCGAGCGCTCCACCACATTGCACCTTTACCTGCGGGACCGCGGGAACAACACGCGCGAGGCCCCATGACGGCCACAGCCCTGCACCACCCGCAGGCCGGGCGGGCGCCACAGCAGGCGACTTCGCGGGACATCCCCCAGAGCCACCCAGCTGGAGGATATACGTGGAAGTTGAAGGACGAGATGCATCCGGGAATCACGGCGCTCAAGTCTCACCAGGTTGTTTGGCGATCACTTTTTGAGAGACGTCTTGCCGCATCAGCTCTGGAAAGGGTGCCAGTCAACATTTGCGCGTTGTCCAGTGGGAGCAGTGAGTCCACTGTTCCCCATGACTGCTTCTACTCAAGCAACTGGCTGTTGCCCCCAACCATGACCAACGCCCCTCGGCGTGCCCTGCGGGGGCGGCGGGGGGGTGGGGCAGCTGGCCACGAACCAGGCGCAAGAAGGAGATTTCGAATTTTGCGTTTCCGAGGCGTGCCCGAGGCGCGGCAAGGAACCTGAATGGGTAGTGCATCGCGTTTGGTTGTGCGACCTGAAGATTGGCAGCGAGGCTCGCCAGGAGTACGAGGGGCTAGTGCCTCTGGCCCTCGCGCGAGCCGACATGGATCAGGGCGCGTGGCTGAGGGGGCCCACGCCAGCGCCATGGGGGGCCGCCCCCTCCCCCAGGCCGACGAGCAGTGGATAGGCACTGCAGAGCTCGAAGGATCCCGCGCGCCACGGGGGGACCTGAGCACGCGCCGCCTTTTTTTGTTGAGGGGCGATGCGAGCGTCGGCCCCAACGCGCACAGTCCGCTTTTCAGGCGCGCAGGGGTTGCGCTCGCATACTCAAGTGAGATGGAGCCGACCCTCGAGTTGCCAGCCACCGTCCGTGGCCCGCTCTTTGGACGCCGTCGGGCGAGGGCAGCGGTTCCATGTGCGTTTCAGATTGCGAATCGGTCGCCCAGAGCTGGTACACGTGTAAGTTCGAGGAGCCCTGCGGCGAAGACGCCGATCTCTGGGCTAAGATCAGGCTCTCAGTGCTGAGGACACTGTCGCAGGAAAGCTCCCCCGCTGGATGGTTGCGGGAAATCTAATTGTTGATGGGATGGCCGGCCTGGCCGGGCCCGAAGCCAGGCTGCCCGAGGGCCCGAGGGTGTGCGCCACTTTGTGTTGATGCATGAATGTGCGCGCGCATTTTACGCGCCGCGCTGGATGCTATGGCGGCTGGCGGTGGGTCCTTGGTTGACCAAACATCATCGAGCCCCGTTGTCATCCCGCCTGCTGCTTCCTGTCTCGTCCATCTCCACCCCGAACACAACGTGGACGATTCGGGTCGTCGATGCCAAAGGTGCGGAGGGTCCGCGGCCATAGCTAGGCGGACAGCTTGGTTCGGGATCCCGTGTTTCGTTCCAACCAATGATAGTGGGTGTGATATTCCAAAAGCCTCCCGAGGCAGAGTTGAATCTAGCAGGTGGGTTTGCCATCCCAGTCATATGATGCACTTCCATGGGCGTCGAAACTCTGGTAATGTGTAAAGTGCCGCTGTTCTGGGCATCGGCACTTGATCTTGTTCGGGCGGGAATGTTTATTTCCGATCTCTCCGAACTCGGCCGGACACTTACGTCGCATTTCTCACGGGCTCTTGGCCAAAGGTCCTGAGCAAGGTTGCGCAATCTTCTCGACGCAAGCAGGCGTAAGTAATTCACGAGGTCATGTTCATCTGTAGTTGTTCGTTGACGTGGCCACGTGGTCATAATCCTCCTCCTCCTCCTCCTCCTCCTCCTCCTCCTCCTCCTCGTCCTCCTCCTCCTCCTCCTCCTCCTTTTCCTTCTCCCTCCCCCTCCCCCCCCCCTCCTCGCATTCGCCGATTCGCCACGCAGGGCGGGGGGTTTTGGTGCGCGTTGCACCGCGACTGCGGGTAGCAGGTCGCTGCCGTTCGTCGCGTCGCCGCCGCCCGCCCAGCCGAAAGGAGCTCGGCGGCCGGGTCTCGCGGACCACCGAGCCAGTCACTGCGGCGCGCCCCTCGGGCCCCGCCGCCTGCGCGCGAGGGGCGGGGGACCGCGGCGCCGACGTCGCGCGGAGGCTGGCGCGCCTTCGCTCCTCGGCGATCGAGGGCCGAAGGGGGTCGAAGATCGAGGGTGAGGATGAGGGCGAGGATCGAGGACGATCGAGGGTCGGGGAGGATCGAGGACAGACGAGAAGAGAGTGCCGAGGAGGATGGATGATCAAGGATCGGTGAGGGTCGGGGAGGAGGGCAGCGGGCCGAGGGTCGAGGCTTGCTGAAGGCCCTCGGACGCCTCGGGGGACCCTGGGAACTCCCGCGGGCCTCTGGAGAGATCTGGCCCCGGAGACCTCCCGCCGCGTCTTTCCCCTTCCTCCTCCTCCTCCTCCTCCTCCTCCTCCTCCTCCTCCTCCTCCTCCTCCTCCTCCTCCTCCTCCTCCTCCTCCTCCGCCTCCTCCTCCTCCTCCTCCTCCTCCTCCTCCTCCTCCTCCTCCTCCTCCTCCTCCTCCTCCTCCTCCTCCTCCTCCTCCTCCTCCTCCTCCTCCTTGTTCTCCCCTCGTTGTTCCTGCTCCTTCTCCTCGTCCTCCTCGTCACGGCTCTGGCGCCAGGAGCGCGCCCTGGGGGCGGCGAGCAGGCGCCAGACCCGCAAACAGCGTGGTGATCACACTGGTCGTCGTTTTCTGATTCACTGTTTTGCCGATCGGCGCCGCGGGCCCTCGCACCCCCCCTCCCCCCCCATGGAGAAGATCTTGGCTGCTTTTGGCGCCTGTTTCGAGCAGGTGTCTTGGCATAGCTCGGACGTGTGCATTTTTCTTTCGGCCAGGACCATCGAGGAGCATCCTTGATCATTTGGCGAAAAAAACCACGCACGAAACCGAAAAAAACACAGGGAATGGACGTCCGAGCGATGGCAAGGTGTAGTCTCTCCCGTAGGGCGCACTGTTGCAAACAGTCGCATTGAGCAGAGGTTCGGAGCCAGACCCCCCCCCTTCCGCCCCATGTCGAAACGCCGAATAACAAAAACGCGGACGTGGTGGTTCTGGGTGACGGCACGATTTTGAGACTTGGGTCGTTTTTTCGAGGACGTCTCTGGCGACTGGAGCTTCAAGTGTCACAAAGCCGTGCGGTGTCGGACCGTGCGGTGAGATCTCTGGAGGTTCCGAGGTCCCCGCACGGTCTGCCATCGCGCAGTGTCGGGACCCCCGACAAGCATCAAGAGGGATGCGCGAAAGGGTGTCCGCAGTTCGGTTGGCCCGGCTGCGTCGCAGTCGGTTGCGCTCGGTTGGTTCGGTTCGGTTCGGTCGGCTGTCGTGTCGCTACCGGGTCTCTTCGTCCGCATGGGCTGCTTGCGGCCCGTCGGTCTCGTTCGCAGTCGCTCTCGCTGTCGGTCCGATCGGTCATCGTCTGCGCTGCCGCCGCCGTGGGTGGCCTCGGTGTGCAGCACGGGAGGGTCGCGCGAGGTGCTTGCGCCCCAGGCTGCCCAAAGCGGGCCCGAGCAGATTCATTGGCGATGTGGCGCGCTCTGGAGCCCGATCTTTTTCGTCCCGATGTCGCCGATGCGGAGGTTGCCAGAGGTGCCCCTGGCCCAAGTCAAGGGCGGAATAACCACCCGGACCCGATAGTTGACGTTTACTCAACTGCCCTGCCCTGTTCGATTCCTTCTTTGGGTGCGTGCACTAAACGGCCTCGCTTCACGGGCTGGTTATTCTGGGGGGGATTTTTTGCCCTCTACCGAGGTGCCCGCAGCTTCGCGCGCCATGCCCCGAGGGCCCTCTGGGCCTCGTGAGGGGTGCCCTGGAGCTCCGGAGGCCGTCTCGGCGTCCCCGGAGAAAGCTGGGGTCACCTCTGCGGCAGGTCGGCGTCGGCGTCGGTGTGGGCACCTCTTGCAACACCCTTTTTGATCCGCGGGTCGAGAGCGCACCTCTTCTGGTCGAAGCTAAGCGGGCCGCGCGAAGCTTGACTTAGGCGGAGGGAGGGGAGGAGAAAGCGACTGGGTGCGATCCTCCGGTTCCGTCTACTCCGGCCCCATCTGGGTGGCCCGCTCGCGCCCCATTCACGCAGCGAGTGAAGCGCCAGAGACGCATAAGCTGATGATCTCGGGCGTTGGTGTCTCGCCCACTGTTGCCGAAGGAGCTCGCACCTATATCCCCTGCGTCCTTGCCATTGCGATCGACTGCGTGTGCCGGGGGGCGTCGAGGACCCCCTGCCACTGCCCAAGAAGAGGCCAAGCGAGACCCGAAGAGACCAGAGACCCAGGAGGCGAGCCACGGCGCGGGCGGCATTGGGAGGTCGAAACGGGAGGGGGAGGGAGCGGGAAGACGTCCTGCTGCAGGCTTCCTTGGCTGCCACGGCGTCCACTTCTGTGGAGAAGCCCAGGGAAGCGGCCAAAATGCCGGCAGCCCAGCGGGATAGGAGGCGTGCTCAGGACTGTCTCAGGGAGGGGAGGCGTCCTCCTGGCACAGGTAGTCAGCGGCAGCTCAGCCAGAGAGACCTCGCGGGGCTTGGAGTTGGGTCACTCGTGGCGGTCGTCGCTAGAGTTGTTTTTTCGGGTGCTCGATGCGACCGCCCCCCGTCGTCCGCCGAAGGCGCACAGGGGAAGGCGGTGAGCGAGGTCGGACGGCGGGAGGGAAGGAAGGGGAGGCAATGATGCGGAGGTAGCATGGCGCTCGAGCCCCCGGGCAGAAGCCCGTGACCGACGGCGCGCGCACTGGTGTGCGGCCTGGGCGGAACAGCTGGGCACTCCTTGTTCGCCACATGCGGGGGGGTCCCTCTCTCCCTCTCTACCCCTCCTTCTCTCTGTCTCTTTCTCTCTCTCTCTCTCTTTCTCTCTCTCTCTCTGTTTCTCTTTTTTGTTCATCTTCCTCTCTCTCTCTCTCTTTCTCATTCTCTCTCGCGCTCTCTCCTTCTCTCTCTCTCACTCTCTCTTTCAATTCTCTCACTCTCTCTCTTTCCATCTCTCTCTCTCTCTCTCTCTCTCTTTCTCTCCGCGCTGGTATGTGTGCCTCTCTCTCTCTCTCTTTCTTTCTCAGCCTCCACCGTCCGAGAACATGTCTCTCCACCTTATCTCCAACCACGGCCCGGCCGCCGCTTCCCTCACACCCCTGCCCTGTCCGAGGCTCTATCTGACCCCCCCTTGGAGGCGAGGGAGGGCCGCTGCCCCGCCGCCTTCGCTCTCGCCCCCCCCCCCGCGCAGACCACGGACGAGCAGGGCGTCCAGCAGACGACGTACACGCTGACCACCAAGCGCGCAGCTGCCCCTCGGGGGCGGAAAAGAGGGGGGTGATGATTAGGGGGGGGCGGATATCATGGCGGGGGTCATGATATTTCCCCAGATTTCACGGCGCCTCTTCTTATTTCATTACGTCCCTGGCCCCCCCGCTGGGCCGCGCACATGCCGCCGGTCATGATTTGCACCCCCCCTCTTGGACACACCCCTCTTGGCCGCTCCCGATGCCCCAGCCAGCTCCCCAGCCCTCGCTCGTTCGCCTCTTGTTGTTCTTAGGGACCCTCGTTCGGTCCCGCCGCTGCCTGGGAATTAGCGCTTGACTCTCTAACCCACGCCCAAAACCAGAAAGATAAAACATACAAAAGTATATATATATATATATATATATATATATATACATATATATACACACATACACAAATAACAAATAACAACAAAAAAAACGCCGCCGCGAGTGGGCGCACCCCCCACGTCGCCCGCAGGGGCGCGACCCTGCTCGTGCCTCGCGCCCCGCCGCCCGGGGTGCAGCCGTGCCCCTCTCTCCGCGGCGGGCGGCGCGAGGACGCGTCGCCCACCCCGCGCCAGAGCCGGGTGGGCACCCCGGTGGAGCCGCAGAGGGCCATCGCGCCGCTGCATTCCGACGTTGAAGTCGGGCCTGTCCCTCTACGGGGGGGAATTTCCCGAAATAGTCAAAAAATAGTCTGGGGACTACTGTTTGACTATTTTGGGGCATCTTCTGAGCATTTTTTTAGTACCTATTTTTCGTCCAAAATCCCCCTGTAGGGGGACAGGCCCGACCTAACCCCAGACCCCGTCGCGTGATGAGAAAATCACGACGGGAGGTTTTTCGCCATTGCCGGCGTCGGGGGGCCCTGACCGGGCCTCGGGACCGTCAGAAAACGACCCCGGAGGAGAGACCGGTCCTGGGGCAGGGGTCCAGGCCTTTTGCGGGGGGGGGTCGACGTCGTGAAAAAGCCACGACGCAGGGGGTCTGTAAAACAGGGCCAGGATCGGGAGGAATCGCTCCAGAGCGTTCCGGAGCGCTCTCAGAGCGTTCCGGAACGCTCTGGGGCGGCCGCCGCGCCCAATGCATCCTCCAAACCCGCCGATTCTCAGAGATTTCGAGTTATCCCGATCCGATTTTGTCCCGATCTTCGCGTCGTTTTAGTCTGGGACCCGACTGCGGCGGAGTCACGTTGTGACCCCTCGGATTTGGGGCCAGCGTGGGCCCAGGGATGCTCGCGAGAGGGAGGGAGATCGCGCGCGGGGGCCCCCCCCTCGCCCGTGCACCTCCCGCTCACCCCCCGGACATCCTCGCGCCGCGGAAAGAGACAGGACGGAACGATTTGGTTCCTCAGGCCTATGGTCGGAGGAGCGTAAGACCCGGGTTTGCCAGGACTCGGTTTCGCCGTCGTTTTTTGACGATCGCGACTCGGATTTTGACGAGTAGGAGTTTCGTGGGGTGTCTGCAGCGGGAGGCCTCGTCAATTTGCAGGCTCGGCCTCGTCATTTTGTTGACGACCTCGTCGGGGATTTCCGAGTCCCCTGTACCCGGGTCTTACGGCCCCCTGACTTGGGACCGACGAGGAAAAGACGGCCCAGGGTGAAGGGCCGGTCCCCAGGAGTTGTCAGTCGGCTTGTGCGGTGTTCCCGATCTGCCTGGCGACCTGTTGATTCGCAATGTGGTGATGTCGCCCGCGGATTTTTTCGCTTCCTGAGTGGCAGCGTTGCCCGCTCCTGTTCCCTTAGGGCCTAATTTAGAGCTTGGCGCGGCTGCCTCTTCTCTTGACGGCGCGCGGTTGGACCGCGACGCTCGGAAAAAAAATGTGTCACCCGCGGTGTCGCTGGCGCAGACAAACCGGACAGCGCGTCCCCAGCACTGACTGGGTCTGGACCTCTGGGGGGCCACGCCGTCAAACAGCCACGTCGTCGGATGCCAGTGGGAAGTCCTCCGCGCCCGGGCACGTCCCCGACCTCGGCAGGAGCGTGCTCTATACCGCTGCTGGCGGAAAACCGGGGGGGGGGTCACTATAGGGGTTCCCAATCCGTCCCCCCCCCCGAAAACTGGTGGGGGGGGCACTACCGGTTTCGAGCCCCTCCCCCCCCCAGTCCATCATGAAAAGCAGTGGGGTCACCACCGGTTCGAGTCCCCCCCGTCGAAAACCGGGGAGGGGTCACTACCGGTTCGAACCCCCCCCTCGCCGCAGGCAAACCATTCCCACTCCCCGAGACAGTTGGACAATGGTGGGGATACTGGGACAATGGTGGGAACGGTGGTGGTGGGGACAGTGGCGCGGGGACAGTGGGACACTAGTGCGGACAGTGGTGGGGAAGGTGGTGGTGGTGGTGGGGACAGCGGTGAAGGGACAGCAGGACAGTTGTGGGGACAGTGGGACTGTGGTGGGGACAGTGGTGAAGGCGGTGGCGGGGACACTGGTGGGACAGTTGTACAGTGGGGAGGGCGGTGGGGACAATGGGACAGCGGGACAGTGGTCGGGACAGTGGGGACGGTGGGACAACACACTGAGACAGCGGCGGGGACAGTGGGACAGTGGCGGGTACAGTGGGGACAGTGGGACAGTGGTGGGGACCGTGGGGAAAGTGGGGAGAGCGGGACCGCGGTGGGACAATGGTGGGGGGAGTGGACACGGTGAGACACTGGTGGGGGCGCTGGTGGGGACAGCGGGGACAATGGTGGGAACAGTGGGGACACTGGGACAGTGGTGGGGACTGGGGACAATGGTGTGGGGACAGTGGGAATGCGATGGGTACAGTAGGAGGTGGGGACAGCGGTGATGGGGACAGTGGTTAGGGCGGTGGCGAGGACGGCGGTGGGACAATGGGACAAAGGTGCAATGGGGACAGTGGTGGGGACAGTGGTGGGGACAGTGGCGGGGACAGCGGGGACAGTGGTGGGAATAGTGGGACAGCTCAGTGGGACAGTGGCGGGGACAGTGGGACAGTGGGACAGTGGTTGGGGCCGTGGGGAAAGTGGGGAGAGTGGGACCGTGGTGGGGACAGTGGGGACGGTGGTGGGGAACAGTGGGGACAGTGGGGTGAGGACAGCGGTGCTGGGGACAGCAGTGGGGATGTGGCGCGGACGGTGGTAGGGACCGGGGAATCGTTTGCCGGCGGTGAGCGGGGGGCGGGAGGGGTTCGAACAGGTAGTGTCCCCCCCCTTTGGTTTTCTGGAAGAGGGGGGGTTCGAACAGGTAGTGACCCCCCCCGCGGTTTTTTTGGGGGGAGGCCGAACCGGTAGTGACCCCCGCTGGTTTTCTGGGGGGGGGAGGTGTTCGAACCGGTAGTGACCTCCCCCCTGGTTTTCCCGGCGGGGGGGGGGTTCGAACCGGTAGTGACCGACCCCCCCCTTTTCCCGAGGGGGGTGGGGGGGTGCCCGGGGGCCGGGGGGAGGGTGGGGGGGGTGTCCAGCAGGGGGGGATTTTCGGAGGGGGGGGGGGGGACACCCGGGTTCCGGAGGAAAACGGAGTGGAATCTACCGCATTCAAGCGGCGGTGGATCACGCTCTCTCCGACCTCGGGCTCCCCCCGACCTGCCCCCTCCCCCGGCTTGCCGGGACCGCACGGTCTCGTGGGCGGCACCGTCTTCGGCGGCGCCGACGTCCTCGGCGACGGCGTCATCGGCGTCGGCGCTGGAGGGCAGAAGAGTCCGGCGGCCAGGATTGACAAACCGCAGAGTGCCCCCGGGAACTCCGCCGCGAAGCTGGGTATACTCGATCGTCAACAAAAGGTTTGCTTGCGGTGACTGCCCCCCGTCGTGCTCTCCAGCGTCGGCGTCGGCGTCGGCGCTGGCGGCGGCCCGCGCGCTTGCGAGCGCCACTGGCGTCAGCGGCGTCGGCGGCTCGATGTGGAGCCCGATTTGCTTCACGTCGCCGTCGCCGATGCATCGCTGAAGTTGACGATGCATCGTCGATGTATCGAGGATTCGGCGCGATCCTCCGACCCCATCTATCAGGAGGGAAAGAAACTCATAGACACAATTAATCGTCGATTCCCAGGAAAATATAGGAAAATATGGGCAGTGGGGGGAAGACGAAAACCCAGAAAATATAGGAAATGATGGGCCATATGTTTATTTGTGTGTATTTATGTGTGTGTGTCCTGGGGCCCCTTCACTCTATTCCGTCCCCATCTTGGAGGCGTCGGCATCACGGCCTTGGCCGCGCGCGCGCGCACGCGCGCCGCGCGGCCAGGGTAGAGGCCTTTTGAAAGCCTTTTAGAAGCCTCGTAGAAGCCTCGTAGAAGCCTCGCAGGGGCTTTTTAGAAGGCTTTCAGAAGCCTCGCAGAACAGCGTCACGGCCCTGGCCGCGCGCGCGCCGCGCGGCCAGGACGACGCCGTTCTTCGACATGACGCAGGCGCCGCTCGCCGCCCGCCCGCGGGCGGCCCTCGGCGGGCGGCCCTGCGCCGGCCGTTTGTCGCCGCGTCGCCGGGCCTCGGCCTGCGCGGGCGGCCCTCCGAACGCCACCGCGGCAGGGCTCGGCCATTCTCGCAGGGGGGGGTAGCGCCCCTGCTTCTGAGAAGGCGCGGGCCTTATTTCTATTTATCTCTCTCTCTCTCTCTTTCTCTGTTTCTCTTTCTCTGTCTCTCCTTTTTTGTTTTTCTCTCTCTCTCTCTCTCTTTCTCTCTCTCTCTCTCTCTCTCTCTCTCTCTCTCTCCTCTCTCTTCTTCTCTCTCTATATATATATATATATATATATATATATATATATTATATATATAATATATATATATATATATATCACACGCAGCACCCCGCAAATGCGGATAAGAATGAGGGGGCGGTGGGGACGTCGGCAGTTTGCGAGACTCTGGAGAACCCCGCCGCAGGCGCCAAAGTTTCACAAATTATACAACGAGCCCGCCGCAGGCGCCGATTTTTTCGTTAAACCAATGTGGGTAGGTCGCGGGTGGGTCGTTGTTGGATCGCGGGTGTAGAGGTCAGAAAATCCACCCCATAATAATCACCCCGACAAGCGAAGCCCTTTGGTAAACGCACACAAGGAATGAATCGAACAGGGCAGGGCTGTTTAGTAAACGCCCAGGGCCATTTAGTAAACGTCAAGTGTCAGGTCCGGTCGCGGGTGGGTCGCAGATGGGTCGCGGGGTGGGTCGCGGGTGGGTCGCGGATGGGTCGCGGGTGGGTCGCGAGGTGGGTCGCGGGGTGGGTCGCAGGTGGGTCGCGGGTGGGTCGCGGGTGGGTCGCGAGGTGGGTCGCGGGTGGGTCGCTGGTTGGGTCGCGGGTGGGTCGCGGGGTGGGTCGCGGGGTGGGTCGCGGGGTGGGTCGCGGGTGGGTCGCGGGTGGGACGACGACGACAACAAACAAACAAACAAACAACAAGTAATAACAACATCCACAACAACAACAACGACATCAACCACAACCACAACCACAACAACAACATTACTCATTATAAAAGTGATCGTTCTTACTGGCACGCGTGTCTTGCATTCCGTATACAACAACAACGACAACGACAACAACAACAACAACAACAATCATTTAAGACTGGGGACACTCCGTTCTGACCAGTGCCAGGGTTTTCATAGGAGGCGGGCAATACCCCCACTTTGTGGGGGGGGCGGTTCAAGCTCTACCAAGTTTCCAAACGACTCTTCGCCACCACCCACACCCAGCTTCCCGCCCTATGACGTTCGGACACTTCACTTCGTGGCATGCGGACGACCGTGGCTACTATTCAGGGCCCCGCGGCCGACGACGACGGCGTGCGCGCGCGAAGAAAAAACGAATGTGTCCAATATGGTATTATTTGACAGGGATGATGGCCCTGGCATGCGCGCAACCGTTGTTGCAGAAGTTCGAAGCACGTGAAAAAGTTGCTCGCAAGAGCCCGTTTGACAGAAATGTTGAAAAAATACTGGGTTTCCTCAGAAATCCGCAAGAGCGCGCAAGATGAATTTTTGAAACTTTTTTTTTTTTGAAAAATGATGACAGGAATATCCACCCCCGTCCCCGATCGGTGCGCGGAGGGCCCCTGAGGCCCCAAATGCGGCCTCCGAATGGGGGGGGGGGCGACGGCGATACTCAGCGGGGGGCTTGCCAAGCGGGCGCGCGCCGCAACGCCGTCGAGCCCAGGGCCGATCCATCGGGGTGGCAGCGCGCGGAACGAAGCGCCCGTGAGGGGTCCGATTGTGAGGGGTCCGAATGTGAGGGGTCCGAGTGTGACGGACCCCGGGCGCGAGTGAAACCGCGCGTGAATGAAACTGAATGCGAGTAAGTCTGAGTGCGGGCGGATCTGAATGCGAGTGACCCTGCGTCGACCGCACCTCCTGCCTCCCCCTCCCCGCCACCGCCGACGACCCGAGGATGACGACGGGGAAGAGGGGGGCGATGGGGGAAGGGCAAGGGGGGAAGGAAGCTAAGTCGGCATGGAAAGGATGATAAAGGGTAGGGGAAGGGAGCGGAAGAGGGGCAACGGGGACTGGATGAGGAGAGGGAGGGGGGAGCTGGAGAAGAGATAGGGGAGGAATGGGATAGGAACCAATGCATTTCCCAAGACATCGCGGCCGCCACATCTGTTCGCGTTTACACGCGAGGACGGGCAACGGGCAGGCGCGCAGCGTGCATGCCGACCGCGTCGGCTGGCCACATCCGCTGATGAGCGGAGTGCATCGGATCGCCTGGCGCCTTGGACGATGAGGAGGGCGAGGGGGGGGGGGGGGGGGGGGGGGGGGGGGGGGAGGGGGGGGGGGGGGGGGGGGGGGGGGGGGGTGGGGGGGGGGGGGGGGGATCTCCCCTCCTCCTCCTATCCCCCCTCCTCCTCCTCCTCCTCATCCCTCCTCCCCTCATCCTCCTCCTCCTCATCGCCTGCCCTCCCCCTCCTCCTCCTCCTCCCCCTTCATCCTCCCCGTCATCACCATGCCCCCCGCCCTCCGCCCCCTCTCCCACTATCCTCCTCAGCCCCCATCATCCACCGAAGCCTCTACCACCCTCCTGCCATTCTTCCTCCACCGCCTCCTCATCATCATCATCCTCCCCCATCCTCGTCGCCGCCATCATCATCATCAGGCGGGCGCGGGGCGACTCAACGAACTGCGCTCCGATAGACTCGAGCGCAGCCGCTGAATCAATGCTTGATCTTCTCCTTCTTGACCTTCTTCTCCTTCTTGGCGTCGCCGTCCTGGGATTGCGGGCGATGGGGAGGGGGGGAGGACCCCCCAGCATTCTT